CAGTTTCAGAGGACTGTCTATGGGGGACTGGCAGAACCCGATTCTTTGTGACTATATTTCAAGCCAACTGAATCAAATTAATTTTTTTTTTTTTTTTTTTTGGTACGCGGGCCTCTCACTGTTGTGGCCTCTCCCCTTGCGGAGCACAGGCTCCGGACGCGCAGGCTCAGTGGCCATGGCTCACGGGCCCAGCCGCTCCGCGGCATGTGGGATCTTCCTGGACCAGGGCACCAACCTGGGTCCCCTGCATCGGCTGGCGGACTCTCAACCACTGCGCCACCAGGGAAGCCCTGAATCACATTAATTTTGCCTCCAAGACTTTTTGAGCATTGTTATCATGTCTCTTGAGACCTTATAAAGAGGGTCCCAAACCAGTATTCAGTAGAAACCACGGCTGTTTCAATGACCATGGACTTGGCATGGAGCATAGGATACTAAGAGAAATGCTTGGCTGGTTTGAGTGCCTGACCTCTTCCCTCCAAACCAAGTGTCTATGACAAGGCCACATAATGGAGGACAGTCCCCTGAGTGACTTAGTCAAAGGAAGTAAGAAGTGAAGCTGAACAGTTCTGACATTTAAATTGTCATGGAGACAGAGTGCTTAAAGGCAGCCTGAACCTCCCTCCATTTTGCCATTGCTTTAAATAATTCAAATTGAAAACCCTAGCTGTGGAATAATGTTTCTTTTCTGTTTCTGATGGATTTTTTTTTTTCCCCTTCTCGGGGGAGTTGAGGTGCCCTGGGAGGATAGCTATGGCAACACCTTTAGGTTATGGAGGCTTAGCCCTGGGAGGATCACAGAAGAGGCCAATGAGAAATCTCTGATCTGAGGTCATTTCAGATAGATGTTCTCCAGGGAAGACGGCTCCGCAGCCCGCCTGGTGACACAACCAGTATATGCCAAAGTCTAGAAGCTTAAGTCTATCTGTATCGTCATGGCATTATGGAAAAGGGGGCCCCTCCTTTTTGCAGTGGGGTTCCAGACCTTTTGTGTATCTTAGTGGAATAGAATGAATAACATGGTCACTACGGGCTTTTGGAGAAATAGTGCAGTAAAATGACCTAATATGGTTTGAGACCTCCAGCTGGAAGGAGCAGAACTCGGCAGCTTCAGCAGGCATGGAGAGCTAGAGCACAGCGGAACGGGGCTTTACAGTGTGCAGCCACACAAGGCCATGCCCGCCAAGCTGAGGAGCTTGGCGGTCACACCTTACTTTTCTGGTCATGCCCTCATACGGTCCCAGGGAGGCTGCTAGCTATGGGTTAAGAGCAAAACTCTCTTTGATTTATGACCTGAGTCTGGACTGAACCTAGAGAAGGCATTTGGAATGAAAGATAAATTTCTCTCCCAGGCGTCCGATATATCGTTTTGTGATTCTGTGGATGGGAGGTTGGGATTGGGGGCATGATCATCAAAATGAGCTTGCCATCTTTCATTAGGTTCTTTCGGCTAACTGCAGAGAGGAGACCATCTGTCAGGCGAAAATGGAGACAGGAAGCAGGTATCAAGAAAGAAGACGTGTCGCACACATCTTGTTCTCTGCAAATAAAACACCTAGAAACTCTGGAAACCACTGGCTTGCCGGAGACCACATGTAAACCTCAGTTCACTTTAGTTCACATTTCTGGCTTGTGGGAGAGCTTCTCAACAGGCAAACAGATGCTTTTAAAGACTGGGGCTTAAAATATTTTTTGTCTTCCAGATGGCATTTCTGCCTTTTTGCCCAGAATAAGGGGCCTTTGCTCTGGGCTCTGGGAAGTGGGGAGGGTACCACCCGGCTCACAGGTAGCTCCTGTTCTCCTGAGCAAATGGAAGGACAGGTCCAAACAGAAGAGGAAAAGGCAAAGAAATGACCAGATCCTTTGAGGCTAATTTCTCCCACCAGTGGGATACAGATTCAGGGAGTCAGGATGCAAGCAGGCAGAACCCAAGTGTTTGTTCTTTAAGGAAATGTTCCCTATTTTTGTGTGCCTTGGCAAACTCAGGGTGGAATGCAAGGGTTGCCATGGCAACATCCTTTTTTTTTTTTTTTAAACACAGATAGGTCATGTGGGACCCACGCACATTCTGGAAGCCACGGTTAATAGTTCCCATGCTAGGTCCTGTTTGGGGGCTCTGGGAGTGATGAGAGACAGCTGCTTTGGGGGTCAAAGGGTCAGGGTCTGCACCCCTTGTCCCCCAAGCAAAGTGCCTCCCTGATCATCACTCGCGTGGTCAGGGGTGGAGGCAAGAATGAGCCACGCTCCGTTTGCCAGTCTCTCAGCCACCCCATAATAGACTCTTAAGTCTATTTGCTGGGAGGACAGAGTGAGCGTTGGGTTTCTCCCGCTCAGTTCCTGCAAGGGTCACTTCCAGCCAGGGCCACATGGCACACCGTGGACATGGGGGACCAGGACTTCTAGAGTCTTCATCCGTGAGCACAGTAACTCCCGTGGGGAAGGCACTGGCTGGCCTGGGGCCCTGGAGTAACACTGGTGTGGACAGAACTTGGGGGCGGGGCGGTGGGAAGTCAGCATTTTCAGCCCAACACCGTTGACAGACCGTCCCAGGCAAAGCTGCCAGGCTACAGGATCTTAGTGCCCAGAGTCTCTGGGGTGCCGTTAGCTCTGGGATGTTCCCACACACTCAGCTCCTGGTGCCATGTGTGAGGTTACCATGGCAGGATGTTCACTTCTAGCCCATCAAAGAGAATTCTATGGCTTCTTTCTCACCCTCTCTCCCTAGCAACACCCACAAGGGATGCCTTCTCCTGGGTAGGATGGACTTGGTTCCACGGACTCACTGGGAGAGAGGAAAATGGTCCTTTAGGGAGAGGATGCGAAGGATGTGGTGGGGAACAGGCTGTTGCTGTCTCTTCAGATTTGCCGTTTAATTCACACCCTTGCACAGCGGCTAATTGCTCTTCCAATGAAGTCTAACCCTCACATCCTTCAAGGTCCCTGCTCCCCAGTAGGAGGCAGAAGAACCCGTAGGCTTTAAAGAAGTTACTCATTTTTTTTGCCCTAAAGTCCAGCATCACCTGCAGCGCTGCCCTCTCACAGGGCAGGGCCCTTTAAGAATCATGCCTGGGGTCTCTATCCAGTCTACGTGGGGTCTCTCACCCCCTCCCCAGGAGGACATGGCCAAGCCGTTCACAGGGTCCCTCCTACCTAAAGAGAGAGAGCAAACTGCTTTGGGCAGAAACTAATAATAAACTTGTCCTGTGTGTCCATATTCTGCATTTGGACCTGTTCTCCTTCTGAAGCCTGGCCCTGAGGGACTGAGGTGAGTCTGGTGAGAGGGGAGAGAGGAGAGATGGACAGACGTGAAGTGTCTAGCGGGGCAGGGCAGGCTAGAGGGACAGGCAGGCCATTGCCTTACTTGGCCTGGATGTGTGGGACCCCAGGCATTTTCACAGAGGGACTTGTAACCTCCCAGGTTCCCGGGAGCTTACATCTGCTCCCTCCTCCATACTACGGCTCAAACCCTAGTTTTACTTGTGCTCATCATGGATATTTGCAGTGGGGAAGTTTCTAGAGCTGCTCCCAGGCTGTTGCCCGAAGTGCCTGCAGAGGTGATTTGGAAGCAGACCCCAAACTGAGACCGTGGATGCTCCAAGTCTGAGAAGGTCAGAGGGAGAGAGCAGAGAGAGAGGGGAGGCTTGAGGAGGGATTCATAAACACACACCGCACCCCAAAACCACCCGGCTGCAGCAAGAGAGGAAAAATTCTGGCACCTCCATACTGAACGAAAAGGGAAAGGGGAGAGCGGAATAGCTTGCAGCTTTAAGATGCAATGGAAAGAAAGAAGAGTAAGACAATTCCAATCACAGAAATAAAGACCTGAGCTTGGAAACGTACAGAGGGAATTACAGCGAAAGGTTATTGGCTAATCAGACTATGCAAGCTTGAATGAATAGCGGCGGTGGATATGGCATCTAGGAAAAGTCAGGAAATCACAAACTTGAAATGGGGTTGGCTTCAGTTCCCTTCCCCAACAGAAGTATTTCACCTGTCGAGTTGGCTAAGCTCATTAACATCTTTTTGTTTTCTTGTGAAAATGAGTCAGTTGCAGAATCTGACTGCCTGAAGATGTTACGTAAAATACAGTGGTTTGATCTTTCCAGCTTTCCGTTTGGGTTGGTGTTTCTCTTATCTGGGAAGACAGACTAAGAAAGCACATTGGAAGATGAGAGAAAGGTGAGATGCACAAGGACCTTAACTTGCAGAGGTCTCCCAGCATGGAGATGTGTTTGGACTCCAACACTCTGGACCACTGGGGCGTGGCTTGCAATACCTCCTCACCACCAGCCTATGTCCCGCTCCATCCCCAAACTACCCACCCCAAGGAGGCAGGGATGTGTGTCGGAGGACAAGTTTCTATCAGCAGTAAAGCAATTAGGGACGATGGATGTCACACGTGAAGAAACCCAATATATACGTCTCTCTGTGTGTCTATGTGATAGAGATGCCCACGGTTATGCTTCATTTTTTTTGTCTAAATGGCAGCACAGGCGGCAAAGCTGGGAGAAAGGCTCTCTGCAGATTCCAAAATGCTGGTGCGCGATGGGCTCTAGGAACAGAAAGCCAAGTGCCGACGGAAACCGAGAGCTCCCCAACTCTGCCAACAAGAGTCCTGTAGAAAAGGCAGTAGAACAGAAGCGAAGGGGGTGCAACTTGCAGACGGCTGGGCACTGCACCCCATTCGATGGCTTTCCCCTCATGCCTTGCCGGGGGGCCTCCACCAGGTTGGGGAAGGAAGCCAGGGTAGGACCGGAAGCCCCCACTTCTGCAGCAACTCAGAAGCCAGCTTCTTGGCACTGAGGGTTGCCCTGGGGTGGGGGAGGGAGGGAGTCTCCAGTTGACCCCTGGGTTGAAAGAACGGGGCGCGGAAGTGATTGCGTGTTCCGCCTCTCTCTTGCTGCCTTACACCGCCAACCTGGATGGCCATGGGAATTCCGAGATGAAAGCGAAGTTTCTCTTTAGAGTTCCTACAGGCGGTCGAAGCGATCATCCGGAACTCCTGGCTATTTATTGCATTAGGAAACAAGACCATTAAAGCATTGAAGACAGCCCTTTTGTGTACCTGCCAAGGGGATGAAGTGGGTTTGCAACAACACGGGTTGCACTGCAACCCTGGGTTCTTCGCTGGACTGTGCCGCGTCTGCACGGTCCGTGATCTGCTTTTTTTGTGGAGGAAGAGTCTGCCCGCGGGGCAAGCACATGCGCGTGAGCCAGGAACGCAGCTGCTGGGGAGGCCGCTACTCCATGCCGCTCCGGAGGATCTGGTTGGCCGCGATCAGCATGACGCTTATGATGAAGGCCATGGCAAAGGCGCAGATGAGGCTCTTCCGGACGCAGGTCTGTCTGTTCTGCTTCTGGGAATGCACTGGAGTGGGGTGTAGGGCAGAGGGCAAGGAGGCATGGAGGGAAGGCAGGGAGGGAAGAGAGAAATGACACAGTGAGACAGATTGCATTTCTTCCTCAACAAGCCCAGGGACCGGTCCACAGGAACAAGACTGGTCACATCAAGTAAAGCATCTCTAGGTCAGCTCTCGGAAGAGACTGGGCACCCCTGCTCCTGGCACATGGTATGAAGTGGCCAAACTTCAAAAATCATGCCAGATGTGATGTTCAGAGTGAGGTCTAGGCTTCCAGATGCAATAGCGCTATGGCGATTTCGGAGCGAGGAAATACATCACATTTTCAGCGTGAGTCTCACCAAAGGCATCATCCAGGCCTGGCCATGTCGCTTCTGCAGAAAGCCAGCCTCCCGTGTTTGAGGCAGCTGTTACAGACAGAGCGAGCTTCGGATGCATCCCTACAGGACGGGCTGGAAGCCACTTACCTTTCTCAGGACTGTTCTTGGGTGGCTGCCAGTTGAAATGACTCTAAGGGACTTCTGGCATTATGGCAGATACGCACAGCGGTGGTTCGAGCGCGGGGTCCCTGGGTAAGCTACATCACAGCACCAAGAACTTATTAAAAAGGCAGATTCTCAGGCCAGCCCCTGCTCCCCGCAAATCTGTTGAATGGGGGACTCTGGCCAGTGATCTCCCGAGTTTAACTAGGTGATCGTGGTGCCTGCTGAAATCTGGGTTGTGGAGACCACGTGAGCTGTGGATAGAACCCGCATGGAGAAAGGAGGTGCGGAATCCTCTCAGGCTTTTCGGAGGCAGGGTGTCCCTGCCCCCAGATCCTGCGGCCCCAAGGGTCTGACCTTGGGTCCTGGAGTGGCGCTGTCTTAATCCTTTTGTTGGGCCAGGTCTTGAGTCACCATTTTTATAAGGCCCACGAGAAACCATTAGTTGGTCTCGATCAGAAGGCGTTAACTAGTGGGTTAGGAATATGGGCCAGAAATAGGGAAATGGAAACAACAAGAAAGGAAAACCTTTGATGAAAGAACGGCTCTCTCCTCCGGGCATTGCTTCCCACGCCAGAATTTCTTTTCCTTCTCTTTCCTCTTTTTGTCTACACCTCCTTCCCTGTCCGTCCTGGCCCCGCAGTAAGCTTTACACACAGTTTACCACTTAGCTTGTGGAAGAAATCCCTTCCTGGGAGGCTGGAGGGAGGCGACCTACACCAGGGCTACTCGCTGGACCAGCTGCCTCGGCACCATCTGGGAGTCTGATGTCAATGCGAATTCCCCCACCCCATCACAGAATGACTGAATCCAAATCTATGGGGGTGGAGGCCAGGAGTGTGTACTTTTAATAAGCTCTGCAGGTGATTAGGGGATCTCCGGGCCCCAGCCCCAGGCTTTTTGGTTCAGTACATCTGGGTGGGGCCCAAGAATCTGACAGAGCTTGAGTTGCTGGGGGCAGGAGGGCTGTGTGTGTGTGTGGGTGTGTGTTAGGGACATCGGGGTGTGGGTACTGCAGAAACCCAAGGCCAGGACTGAAGAACATTTTCAGATTACCTTCCATTTTGCAAAGGGGTCCTTCTGCTAGACATTCTACTGTACCTTTGCAAACGACCACCAGCTGAGGGAAAGTGGTTTTTCCTTAGGCCAAATTGAGTGAAAAAAGAAAGAAAAGAAGTGTAATTTCCCTTAAAATTACTCTCTGCTGGAAAGAAGGCAAAAGAAAAGGTCAAGGTAGGGGCCACATGCCTTTAAAAAAACCTGAAAAAAAATGTTCAAGCTCACGCCCCTCTCCCCCTTGACACTGAGTGGCTCCTCTAATGCCCTAGAAATAGCAGGGAAGAAGCAGAAAGTGGGTGATGTTTCCAAAGGCAAAGGAGCTTCCCCTGAGACAAGGCTCAGGGGGCCTCCACAAATTACATCCACCGGAAAGTTTCTCCAGCAACCACACTTCACAGAGGCCCAATGCCCCCGGCACAGCTCCCGGCTCCCTCCCCAGTACCTGTCGGTTATTTCTGCCTTAGTCTCTTAGGCCTTGTCTTGATATCCTTAATCCTTCTGGGTCCACTGGGCCTCTGCTTCCCTTGGTGATTGAAAGTATTTTCGGCTCAGTTCTCTACTACTTGCTCATCCTGTCTGGGTCTTAGAATCTTATAAGTTCTTACCTGGAGGAAGAAAATTTCCTTGGTGCGGAGACGTGCCTGCCCCCAGCAGTGGGCAAATGTAAAAAGTTATATCAGCCCTCAGGAAGGAAAAGGGAGGTGGTGTTTGGGAAGGAAAGGACCCAAAGCAGAAAATAAGGTGAGGATGTGGAAATGGCGTATCTAACACTTTCTGAGGACTATAATTTATTCCGGCAGCTCCTCAGTATAAAAATGCTTCTGAAGGCAGACATCTACCTTCCTATCTTGAGGGCTGGCGAAGGCTTAAGGAAAAGAAAAATGGTGTGATTGGGCTGAGGGAGAAATTTTTTGCTGAAGCCCTTCTTTGTGAAGGACACTGGGAAAACAAGGTTACAGGCAACAGGATTATCCCCCAGGAGAGTGGCTGCACCTTTGATCTAAAAATCCTTCAAAGCAGTAGGAGGGGAGAGATAAGGTAGGAGGAAAGGCCTGGGGACCTAATAGTTTGTACATGAGGTCATGCCAGTCTGGATCCAGACGTGAGTACTGTAAGCAGAGTGAAGCTTCCAGCTCTCTCCTGGGTAGTTCTGAAACCCACCATCATCGGAGATTGGAGTCTTTAATTCAGATTCTGTGCAAGGATGAGAATTCTTTTTTATTTTTTAAATTAATTAATTAATTAATTAATGTTTGGTTGCGTTGGGTCTTCATTGCTGCGCACGGGCTTTCTTTAGTTGCGACGAGCGGGGGGGGGGGCTACTCTTCACTGTGGTGCGCGGGCTCCTCATTGCAGTGGCTTCTCTTGTTGCAGAGCACGGGCTCTAGGCACGTGGGCTCAGAAGTTGTGGCGCACGGGCTTAGATGCTCCACGGCATGTGGGCTCTTCCTGGACCAGGGCTCGAACCTGTGTCCCCTGCTTTGGCAGGCGGATTCTTAACCACTGTGCCACCAGGGAAGTCCCAGGATGAGAATTCTTTCACATCCAGTTCTGATGTAGGTTGTGTGGCGGAGTGAAGAAGCCAGACACCAGTCTGAATCACAATCATCTTATCCCACATTGTAGCTGTGTGAGCTGGGGCAAGCCAAGCTCCCTGGGCCTCAATTTCCCTGTCTGTAAAATGTGCGTAAATAAGACCTACCTTGTGGTGAGGATTATGAACATAGGAAGGTACTTGAATGTTGTCTGTGCCCAGTGAATGCTAATTCCTATATGGAGACCTTGAAAAAATTCCCCTCTACTTACTGAGCACCCACCTCCGTGGGCAAGGTACGCATATGTGCTTTATAGACTTCCTTGCAGAATTAATAGCGATAGTCCTTTGTGAATTGGGTGTGTGACCCTCGTTTGGTAGGTGAGGGCTCTGAAGCTCCGAGAAGTAGAATCCAAGGTCTTTTGGCAAATGGTGAAGGTGGGATTTGAACCCACGTCTGATGCTAATATCCAGGTTCAAAAGTTCTACACAAACTCTCTCCTGACCTTTTGTTTAGCAAAAGAAGATGCAGCCAGACGAAGAGCCAAAAGAAATACACTTCAAACACTTGGTGTGGTCGACAGTATAACCCAGCACTAATTAATGTGTTTGTTGATAATAATTTAATGCCTGTCTTTGGCTATCATATATTTGCATTGCACTATATTTCTGTGTATTTATTCATTCTCAGTGTCTACACTTGGTTTCCCCAACAAGACGACAGGTCAGCCCAGGATGAACTGTGAGTTGGAGATAATGGCTTCTTCTCTTCACTGCCACTTAGGAAGAGCCCTGGGCAAGAGGCTGAATTTCTCTGAGCCTCAGTTTCTCTCTCTGTAAAAGGAGCTAATGATAATTGTTCTGTTAATTTCAAAAATTATTTCAGAGATCAACGGGCTCATAAAAAATCAAAAACTATTGTGCAACCGTGACTTGCTAGAGAAATGCAAGGTATCCTTCCTGTATCCCCTGAGGGCTGAAGAAAAGATCTGATGGTTTTTCTCCTGTCTCCTGCAGCCTCTAGCCCCGGGCTGAGACTACAGCAGATGCTCCCAAAACTTTGCTTTGGTCCCTTCCCTCAATTATTCATCCTGAACTGCAGCCAGACTCCTTCCTGGAGCAGTGCTTGGTATGCGTCATCACGCCCTGCAATCTCCCTGAAGGCCCCCCCTTGCTGGGCTAAGCAGTTCTATCCGGCTCCTAAGCTCAGCAGGTAGAGGCAGGACCACAGATCACCTCCTATCCCCTTTGCCCCTCTGTCCCTAGACCACCCCTCCTCCCCGCCCCCAGCAACCTTTGTCTCAGCCAAGCAGCTATGCTCTCTACCTAGGACTCTGCAGCACTGTCCATAAGGGTGCCCACTTACCTTCCCTCTCATTTCTTCCAGGCCTAACCTAAACTTGACTTTCCTATGAGGCTTCTCCTGAACATCTGTCGTGCTCTCAAAGGGCCTGATATTTTAATTTTTTTAAAAATCTAGCTCTTGGGGCTTCCCTGGTGGCGCAGTGGTTGGGAGTCCGCTTGCCGAAGCAGGGGACACGGGTTCATGCCCCGGTCCGGGAAGATCCCGCGTGCCGCGGAGCGGCTGGGCCCGTGAACCATGGACGTTGAGCCTGTGCGTCTGGAGCCTGTGCTCTGCAGCGGGAGAGGCCACAACAGTGAGAGGCCCGCATACCGCAAAAAAACAAAAACAAAAACAAAAACAAACAAACAAAAAAATCTAGCTCTTAATATTTATTTACTTTCAATCGAGAAAGAATCCACATACCATAACATTCACCCTTTTAGGGTGTACAATTCAGTGGTATTTAGTACATTCCCAAGGGTTGTGAAACCATCACCACCACCTAATTCTAGAAAGTTCTCATCACCCTAAAAAGAAACCCCATACACATTAGAAGTCACTCCTCATCGTCCTCCCTCCCCAGCCCCT